ATCACGTGTGAAACCCTTAAAATTTAAAGTGCAAGCATATAACCATAATTATATTAGTAATTATATCATTATAATTACGCGGCAGATAAGATTCAACTCTCACACAGCTGTATCTGGAGACGCTGTAATGAGAAAGAGAGAGGGAGAGAGAGAGCAGGAAACACTCGAGTTTTGAGAATTATTAAACAGATGAGTAAACACCGTACTTAGCGCCTCGCGTTATGCGTACACGCTAGATAATCACGCAGCTTTCGACCGCGTACTCGAGGATGCGGTAGCAAGCTTTCCTCTCATTTCCCTTTCCGAGTGCACGTGGGAGTTCTCTCTTCTTTCTTTACTCCCCATGCTTCTCAAGATTTAATGCATACATCGACCTGCATGCGTAAATCGTATCAATCCTTTTCCTTTTTTACTCGTATCTTTTCAAGCATTTAATACGGATACTTACTTCTCTTTTCTTTTTTACGGCTATAAATATTGCAAAAAAATTTCAAGAGTGGTCTTGATAGAAGACTCCAGAAACTACACGTATACGTAATTTTTTTATTATTAAATCTATATATATAAAGGGTGATCAATATTTACTCGACTCTCTTGATCTTATAAGTATAACAAGAATAAAACTCAACACGGGCACGATTTCCAAGTGTAAGTCGTCGTAAAATAGTATTTTAATGATGGCATATCATACTTTTATAAGCCTTGCAGTAGTAGCAACAGCAGCAAAAGGATAACATCACGTAGCTTATCGTCTAATGAGAACGCTCATTTCCAGTTGCAGTCTGCGTATACGTGGTGGCTGATATTATTGCGGCGCGGTGTTGCACTGCGTTATACAGAGTATAACTCGGTTATCGCGCGCAAGCTCCACGTTGTTCTCTATGCTCCGATTTAATACCTTCGTATTAATGCATGTGCGCAGGAGAACGATACAACCTATCGTAATGTTCGTTTGTGCCTAAGTAAAATACGAGTATCTCTTCCTCTCTCTCTGTCTCTTCCTCTCTCTCTTCCAGATTTTGCTTCTGAATTTTTATCACTTTTTACCGTTTTTCTTTAACTCCGTGGAGTTGCTGTGATTTCAGGCAATGCCTGTTCGGTCGATCTAAGCTCTCAGCTTGCTAAAGTTTGCATATATTTATTGCAAAACCGACTGTTGAGCATTCGCTCCACCCGCCATACTATTTGATCTCTACACCTGCCTCTCGCCTACTCTTCACAGTGGAGCTTGGTTCCATGAGGAACCCTACTACCTCCGTGGATGCATTGCAAATCCTGGCTGCACCACCTTAACTGCTCTTGCCCTGAAGTGAGAGAGTTAACATTCATGTTTTCCGATTTCTGTTGCATACGTTCGCAGTTTTTGCTTCCGTCTGAGCCAATTATCTTGTGCTTCGAGTTAAGTGCGCTGCCACACTGCGTCCGTAGACATAAGGCAGGGGAAGCGATCCGCGTCTCCGTCGATCCGTCATGCTTGCGTGCTACACAGCACGACCGTACCACGTCTACCCTATCTGTAATATCTGACACTCCCCAACTGACAGTAGCAACTTCTGCGTTGCAGATTCCTTCTACCGTCACTACCGCTGCTGTCGTTTGCGTGTCTGAGAATATGGGTGAAATGGCCCCTGCCTATTTTGCGACCTTTGAGCGAAGAATGGAGCTAATTCTCACTGTTAATCACGAGGAGGTCTGCCACAAGTGCGACAGGATTATCCACGACCAGGTAGTATTCCATAAGCTCTCTTCAATCAGTGATGAACCTGAGATACTGGTCCATGGTCTCCCCGCTGTCTATGTGAACTTGTACTGCTGCACGCAAACTGTTTATTACCCTTGGTATCAGGATGGGTCAAGACCTCCCAGGTATCCTCCAAACTCCCGAGTGGACTCTTTGGACACTGCCATCAGCTGATAGGATAGCTTCGTTCTCTTCTCATACATCCAAAACTTTTGTCTTTTTCATTGAGTTCACCTCGGTCTGTGATAACATTGTTCATTTGTTTTCTCACTTGACCAATTTATTCGCGCAGGAAATTTTTAGCTGTAGTGGCAATTCGCACGTCTTTCTTCGGCCGTTTTGGCCGAAACCAGTTCTCGAATTTCTGTTCAAGGCTCGGAGAGTCTATGACGAGCTGAGTTATTCATCCATTATAATTTTTGTCTACCCAACAGCTCGGTCGGATTTCATCCCCAATATCACTGAGCACGACCTGTGCAATCTCCCAGCTGCTTCTATACACCAGACATCTCCGACACCATTACTAATCCATGGTGATGGTATGTCCTCAAACTGTCCGCTAAATAAGCATGAAAGCAACAATTCTTCACTTTTATTCAGCCTCTGTTGAGGACGCCGAGCGTAGAAGCCCGGGGAAAAAACGGCGCGTCCACACTTTTTAAAAAAAGGAAAAAGAAAAGGGATGGCGTGGTCAGCCATTAAACGGTTAAGGCGCAATAGACGCGATGCGGGGAAAACTCAGAAGTTGGCAGTGACGAGTAGGGATGTTTAAACTCACGCCATGCCTTCATTACCAACGATGAACTCTGATCGTGTAAACACTGCACAGCCTCCATCTTTTATAACCTTATCTTCTAACATTAACACTCAGGATCGCGCATTTGTTGCTTCCATTACGTCAACCCTCGATGAATTAGCTCCTCTGTAAGTGATATCCTTTTCTGCCAAGAGAAAACCTTGGATGTCCGCACAAATGTATGCTAATTTGCGTATCAGAAATGTTGCCTATAAGTATGTCAAGCGAGTTGCTTACCCTTGCGATGTCGAAAACTTCAGACGCTAGATCTCAAACGATCTCAACACTGAGAAAAATGCTCACATTGAGAAGCGACTTAAGCAGGCTAATGGACTTGGAAGAGACTGATGCGAGTTGCACAATATTGAAGTCACCAGAAGCTCATTACCGTCGCCTTTCCTCTTCTGCCACGCTGCTGTTCTAAGCTCTCACTATATCAACGTCATGCAATTAAATCCACCTTTAAATCGTGAGAGCTTTGATGCCTTTCTGAGCATATCGCTCGACAGGACCTTTGATTTCCCATCTTTCGGCACGTCACGGTGAAGAATGTGAGGGAGGTGCTGGCCGAGGCTAAGTCAGGGGGCTCAAGCTCAGATGGTTTATCTCTGAAAAGCCCTATTGCTGGCGCCCAACTCGGGTATACCATACATTACCGCTCTCTTCAACTGTTCCCTGGATACTGTAAGTTTTCCTGCTTACCGGAAGAGGACTTTGCTCCGCTTGCTGTCCAAAACCTGTGCGCCTTGTACTCCCTCCGATTCACGGCCGATAGCACAGTTTAGCGAGATGTCGAAGCTCTTGGAGCGATTAGTTCACCGCTAACTACTTCATCATCTAGAATCTAACAAATAGTTCGACTCTAGACAGGCGGGTTTCCGCAAAGACCATTCCACCGAAATTGTAGTAAACGTGCTAATGCGCACGCTCTCTCTCGTTCGGTAATAAAGAAATAAAAATAAGCAGGCAGGTAGTAAAACGAGGCAAGACGTCTGCGGTTGCGGACGTGCACGTGGAAGAAAGGGTCAGTAATAAAAATGGGGGCAACGCTTGAAAAAGGTCACACGGGTCTACATATGCCGGATATGTACATCACACTGTCGTTCGGTAATTATCGAAAAGAAAGCTGCGGGAATTGGATCCGAGCACGGTTTTGTACCGGAGAATTTTTCTTTTCCTTATTTTTGGGGTTTTTCGCTTGCACCTTCTCGGTCTCCTCATTAAAAGAAATGTAATTGCCTTTCTTGTCGTTGTACATGACGCTATTCACACTAATTTTAAGTAAACGCATAGCGGATCTTTGAAAAAATGTAAAGCGTTGTCTAAAAGTGAATAAACCACAAACTAACTGTTAGTTGCGAAATATTGTAGCGTATGTATTGTATTAAATTATAAGCACATGTAAATAAAATGCAAGCGTATGGTCATTTAAAGGGAGAGCGTTATTATCAGTTTCGGACGTAAATTGTGAGTTAGATAACGTTCAGAATCAAAGTCACCCCTTGACTCGACATATGGACATGGGTGTACACCAAGAGCGTATCATCGCCATAAGCCACCCTTTCATCTCCATCGAATTTGTTCCTAGAAGCTGTAGATCTCAAACGAAGTGATAAGGCCCCCCTAATAATGCAGGTCACTGTATAACGAGGAGGGGAAGCTTTCAAGCTGACCTTCGGATCGGCACGCTGCTAGCGAGGGTGCGAGGAAGAGAGCTAGAGAGTGGGAGAGACGAAGAGAGCAAAAGCGGGGTGAAAATGTGCACGCCACACTCAGTCCCAATGAGGGCGATGAAGCGGAAAATTGGAACGGTGATGAGGAGGGGGTAAGAAATGTGGAAGCTTGGTGGGGGCCACATGGAAATTGAAAGTTCAGTTGAGCTTTCCTCCTATACCAGGTAAGGTGCTATTCTTTTCATTTTGAATATAGTACGTGTGCTATTCTAGTCGTGTTGAGAGTTGCAATAGTTATACTGTCTTGTAAAATAACGGCTTTTTCCCTCCTACTATAAGATTTTTTATCCCTCCGTTTCGTTTATAAGTTGAACGTGGATTTTCTTATAAAAAAATTAATAATAATAAATAAATAAAATCAACCTGAAAAAGAACACTACTCATTATTCCAGTTCAAACTTCACTTCCTACAGAAACGGCGCTTCTCGGACTACTCGATGATATGCGCTGGGCCATAGATAAACGCCAGGTAACCAGCCTAGTGCTTTTTGATTTTTCCAAGGCATTCAGTAGCACCTTCTATGAAATACTCATCAGCAAGTTACGGAACCTGAACCTTGCGTCTACTACTCTGCAATGATTCTTTAATTACCACATAGATCGCTTGCCGGCAGTATCTAACTTCCCAGTGGTTGAGATCTGACTCGGGCGTTTCCCAAGGAAATGTCCTGGGACCTCTCCTTTTCGCCATTTATATTAATGACCTGCCAAGTGTCCTTTTTTTCTCAAGGTACATGATATATGCTGATGAGATCCAGGTCTACGTTCATTGCTTTCCACATGACATTCATGAGGTCATCAGGAAGGCGCAGCAAGACGTGCAGGTGATCGCTGATTGGGCGGTCGCAAATGGACTCACTCTTAACATCCTCAAGACCATGATCGCTATATTGGACAAGGAGTAGTATATCTCCTCGATGGACATCAACACCCTGCCAAAGATAGTTATTATCGAGGTCCAGTTTCCATTCTCCTTTACTATTAAAAGCCTGGGTATAACTCTTTCATCCACGCTTGTTGCTAAAATTTTACCGCAAGGCTCTCTCCTTTAAGCTAAAGAAGATGCTCGTTCAAGCATTGGTCGTGCTTCACTTTAGTTACGCCTCCATCGTTTATGTGGATACCGATAAAACTCGGCAGTTTGCGCTGCTAGTCGCCCACAATGTCTGCGTTTGTTTTGTCGCCGGTTATGTCCCTTTCACCGTCACCAGAGATTTGACGTCCCACATTTCCAACAAGGAGATGAAACTAGGTTGGTTCACACTGAGCTCCTCCAGACTCCTTGTACTTAAGCTCTCTTATATATGGTTGTCTGTAGTGATTCTCTCTTCTATTTTTCCTCGCATCTCTCATTACTTTCGAGGGACGTCATTGCTTGTCGATCCCTAAGAAATTCGCCTGCAGCATTACATTTCCGGGCTCCACGGATCGAAGCCTGGAGAAGGTAATTCGTGATGCGGGGAATGGACCACCTTAACCGGCTAAGCATGACCATCTTCTTCTCCGAGTGACTCAACGAATTCAAGAAATAGCTCTACTCCCTTCTATTTTTGCTCGAGACCATCCAGCTCGAGTCGAGAATCGCCATCGAGAGCTTCTCTAACTGTAAGGTGATGAGCGTCCTTACACTTACTACTTTCCTTTTAACGTTGCGGCTTTCACGCACACCTGTGCCTACCTTAGTGTTTATATATATTATTATAAGAGCTTGTAAGCTCTTATTGTTAACTGCATTTCTGTCACCCATCTCTCTATATTTATTTTGTTCTATGCATATATCGTTTTTTCACTTCGTTTCGTTACGTTTTGTGTTGCATATTTATTTATTTTTGCATGCTCTTCACTATGTCACTTTTACGCTTTACATTATGTATGTATTCTTACGCTTATGTTATTCTGGCTAATGGTCCAAATAAAGGAAAATTAAACCTCTCTCTCTCTCTCTCTCTCTCTCTCTCTCTCTCTCTCTAAGATAGTTTTTTCTTCAAATACCTGCTGTTATTTTCTAATAGCTATACAAATGCAAAAATTGTCAAACAAATTATGTAAAAAAGTTTGAAGTACACATAAAACTTATACTTTCCTTGAGACTTTCGGTGAGTATGTAAATTAGTTTAGCCGTCAACTTTATTATCCATCACGAGTAAGTGGAATTTCAACCTACTTCAAAGAACAATGGTATAACATTTCAAACAATGTTCTCATTCTTAAAAGTAAATAAAACAGTTAATAATAAATATAATTTCACTAGTAATATGACTAAAACAAGACACGGATAGAAAAAAAAAGCTGTATAGGTATACATGTATATTTATATATGCATGTGTATATTCGTACATGAAGCGTAGCTAATCAGATTAGAAGTTTATTCTGCGCGTGCCGCGCGCAATGGTGACTCTGCTGCACGAAAGTAAAGAGAGAGAGAGAGAGAGAGAGAGAGACAGACAGACAGACAACACGATATCTGTGGGTAAAAAGGACCTGGTCGATATGTACTTATATGTATGTATATGTAGTGAGCTTTGTGCTTGTTGGTACCTTTCGAGTATGATTATAGGAAACTTGTATTTCACGATAGTAGAGGTTTTGAAGTGATACTGGCTCAACTTTCACGAGCGTCGTATCTCACTATACAAATGTGTCTGGATTTAGCTGTTTTGTAGGAAAAGAAAGAAGAAAATGGGGTCAGCGCTCGCTCGATATCTACCAAGCCCCATCTAAATATAGCTCTCGTTTCATTCTTTTCTCAGGAAAAGATTTTCTCGCCCTTTTTTCGGCCATCTTCGTAGCATCTGTTGGTTTTGCGTTAATTGAGTTGACTTTTCCATTCCGTTTAATTTAACTTTCTTCTCTTTCACTTCTCCCCAGCATCGCGTGAAAATATCTTGCAGCTATGTATAACATTACAGAGATTACCGATAATGCGTTTTTAATGCAATATGCTTTTGAAGTTTAGCTCGCTTTTAACGTTCAAACAGGTGTACAGCTATTATGAAGTATTAACCATTATGGGACAGGCCTTTAGTATACGCGCGACTTCCAACAGTTTATTAGATCCTGAATGTAATGACATACGATATTTAATTATAGTTACAATGCCTATTAAACTTACAACGTATATACTACCAAAACTAATAAGCTCATTAAAGTTTTCCTAATCAATGCAGCAGCAAAAGACAAACAATAAATTCATGGAAGGAAAAACAAGCATTTCCATTAAAACAATAAATTGTTTCAGTGCATATAGTGCGCGAATAATTAATCGCACTAATTACGCAATAGCATCGTCGGTTGTGTGGTGTGGTTATTCAGCTATTTTAATATTTCAAAGTGGGATACTATTCTTGCTGTTGCAATAATCCTGAATGGCTTGGATGCAAATTGAAGTGAAAAAGGTGACAAGCAATGACGGAAGCAAAAATAAAAGTCGAGAAAAATAAGCCGCAATATTTATATGGGAAACGCAGGTTCCTCTAGATATTTCTGTAGCTGTATACCTGATAGTAATTGACGTGACGTAGGCATTGCTAATGAAGAAACGTATGGTATACGCGTGACTCGAATTTCGATAAATAACCTTGTGCGTATATATTCGGCCCTAGAGTCTCCTACTTGAGTTTTTCCTCTTTCTTTTTCTTTCACTTTTTTCTTGAGTTACTTACATGTGGAGTTTTATTCCGTCGATGACCTTCACGGGACTTTCATTTAAATATATTTTATTTCTTGTAGGTGGCTTAAAAGTCTTCTTCTTTATTAAAAAATGTTAAAGGACACTGGAATAAGTGACATTTTTTTTCTTTAATCTTAATATTGTAATATTGTAATATTTACGAAAGATAAATATTATATTTTTTACCAAATCAACTTCGTATTGATTTACTAATTTAAAATATTTTAATTGTATTTCATCGTGAGTTTTTGTAATTTAAGTTACAACCTACGTTTTAATAATTTCTTTATTAATTATCAGCTTTATGAATAGTAATTAAATCTTAATATCAAAAACATACAAAAATAAAAGTTTATCGTAGCCAAACTTACGGCTGTAACCTCAAAGTAGCAAGGTAAAGCTATCAACTGTTTAGAGGGCCAAACAAAATGCTATCGTATAAACTTTGATAAAATGCGTGCGAAAAAACAACACATAGAGAAAAATTCTTTTATTCTTTAGTTTACATTGCTCTCTATCTTTCTTTTTTTTTCCTCTCTTCCGTTTCTCTTTCCGCTAGCAAGCACTTTTTCGTTTTTTATTATTTTTTTACGTAAATGCAGTATTGCGTACTTTAGTGAAAAAGAACTGTTACTGAAGTACAACATAACTTTCACGATATAATCGAAAAGAATGCACCGTAAGGTAAGTTATGACTATAAATTCCTATCTTTGTGGGAAATGCTGAAAACTATTCCAGGACTGGTTTATGTGATAGATCGAAATTCTCACTCTTCTTTCACAAGTAATGAAAATTTTAGCGTAACAATTTTTGTTTCTAAAATTAAAAATGTACAGAGTAATGTAAAATTTTACATTCACCATACATTTATCAGTATAATTTCATATTTATGTATTAAAGAGAACCTCAGACAACTTTTTACCAAGGAAATTTTTGCAATGAACCATATCTATCAAAAAATTTACAAGACAACAAATGTACTAACCTTGATTTTGAAAAATAGCCTGTAACCAGACGACAGAGAAAATCGTGATCACGGGTAGGTGTGGTCGACACAAGGAAAATATCTGTTTCTGGACAATAAAAAGGGACGAGTAGAATCCAGACAATAGAGACACTCATAAAAACCGAACGTTGAAGGTTGACAGAAAGAAAATAATGTACTCGTCTGCTTCGTTCCAGACGGGCAAAAAACTTTTTGCTTCAGTTACTTCATAAATAATTTTTCCCTTTAGTACATAATTTTCATTAACATTTTTATTAATCTCGTTGTTTTATAATTAGTTATATGTATTACATTGTAAAAGACTAATTTTGCAATAATTCTTTACGTCAGCACATTCATCTAGTAGTAGAGTCGATATTATATCGGACATGTGATGCTTCACTTCCAAGTGTCCGTCGACCTCAAGTGCACTCACTATCAAATGAAGTAACGTATTATTAAGCTGCTCAGTTATTCTTGTGACTAGACGAGTAACTAATTTGAGGAATAGATCACATATTTATAAAATGTATTTAATCCTACCTACAAAATAATTCAAATAGTTCCACGACGTAATAGTTAATTTCAACAATCTTTTACAGTGCTGAAACTGGTGTAAGTGAAAATACTGCACGCATCTTGGACATACTTCGTATTTGTTCTTCTTAATTTCCCTTCTTCTCACTAATGATCAGAATCGCCGGAAAATTCACCTAAAATTTTAGCCTTAAGGGCAAATCATAGAACCACGATCCGAACATTGTTTTTTCTCGCTCTTTAACTCAACCTATTGTAAGCAACGATAATATCGAGTCACTAAGCCGTAAGTCAATACCGAGATCGAAAACTTAAAAGTAAGCTAGGTAAAGAGGAAAAACAGCTTGTTATTGGTTAAAGGAGAAGCAATCGAGAAAAGGCGACAGCAACCACCCTTGGGCCTCGAAGTGGGGATGACCAAGAGACTAAAAATCTTCGGTGACTTAGCGCTCCGTAGGGATAATTCAGAATGCTTGTTAAAGCCAATTGTTCTTAATCTCTCGCTCTCTCTCTCTCTCTCCCTCTCTCTGTCTCTCTCTCTGTCTCTCTCTCTGTCTGTCTCTCTCTCTCTCTCTCATCTTATTAGAAGCACACGTGCGTACACATTTTGTATTATATATTGTCATTCGGCTTGTGTTTCCTTGTACATAAATCATTTTTATTTGTAATCTACTCGTTTCTATCCTTCAAAACTAATTTTTAATTTTTATTATTGCAGTTAATTTTAATTGTCTAAATTCTGTGCACTTCAAGTAATAAACCTAAAGTTCATTTACATTTTACACATATTTTATCCTCACTCTCCCTTAATCCAAACACTTTCTATATCCTTAAAAATTAACAATCAACAAGTTTCTTACAAATAGAATAAGAACTTCAGTCTTGTCCGCTTACTAATCATTTTGAAGATCTTTGCATTTTTACTGCTACCCATTATATGATGATTCTACTTAATAATGTAACAAAACGCAAACTGAGCACATTGTTGTTTCCATTTACTTTGCTATATATTCAAAGAACCATTTAAACGTGGAACAATGCTTCGTTTGAATAAGGCTGCGACACCGCGCTCAAAAATAAAAAATAAAGAAGAAGAAGAAGAAAGCGGGGAGACTAAAAAGCCGCAATTTACGCGCTTGGCGACCTTGGCTTTGGTTTCCCTCGAGGGAATTTTCCTTCTGAATGGAGCGCGACGCGGCGGGCCCTCGGATAATTACGTCCGTTGCTGCTGTACAAGGGCTCGCACAGTGAATACCTTGGCTACGTCGAAGTTAGATTGCCTTCAAGTTCGTGCGGCTATACAGTTCAGCCGTCCGTCTTAACTGATAAATCATTGCTTGGACGCGACTCCCCAATGAGACCGCGGCAGCATTGCGCGCATTTTATTTTAATGAAAAAATATTCAAGTGTTTTGAGTTTCATCGGACTATTGTTTCGACATCGCGATATAAAATAAATTGATTATTTTCGGTAAAATTGGTGTAGCAATCAGGAATTGAAAGTTTCTTTCCGAGTTCGTTCAAGATTAGAACCGCATTGTTAGGAAGTAATAAGCATCACAATGAAATTTCATAAAAGCGAATGCAGTAGATAGAAATTCGCGTCGTCCCGTTTCAGTACAAGTTACATCGAGCGTGAAACTGTTCAGAGTAAACTGACCGCGCTCAATTTTACTAGCCATCGAATGCACGCGTATTGTGTTCCAATTCAGGTCATTTGAAAAAGCCGTGCTTTTTATTGATCCAATTAAGAAATCCGTTTAGCGTAGTCCGAACAACGTATTTTTTTTAGATTTATTCATGAACGTTAACTATCGATAATACTTTATAAAATAGCATTATGTATAAAAGCGATGAATAAACTACAATCGGAAAATTCAATGCAATATTTTTATTCTGTATAATTACTGATTGACTCAACTGCACTACTAACACTAGACAATAATGACAGAAATACTAAAGATTCACAACACGATATAGAAATTTCGTAGAAATATTCAATATATTTTGGGGAATCTAAAATGCTTATCGTGATATATGTATCGCGAAATTGCCACTCTAGATAACATAGTACTGTGTGTCAAGTCTAGAACACGTAACATCTAATAAAGCATCGGACATCGCGATGTTAACGAATGTCTTCAGGGTAATGACTGACAATTTTCGGTTGATATATATTTTAACGAATGTATTGAAAAGGCTTCGGAGATTATATAATCAAATGGTAATTAATTATGATAGAATTGAATTTATAATTGTTTATTACATATGACTTAATTATAAAATAAAGGCGAATGTTACTGGTTCGTTACTCACATGATGCACATAAAACTTAAATTTACAAATTAAAAAACTTCAGATAGTTAATAATTATGACAGGTAAATTTGACGATTGATGGACCAATTTAGCGAGTAAAATGTGTCAATAGTCAAATGAATGACCAGAATGTATTTTATATTAGCTAACAGCGATCCGAGGAGCTGTAATAGCGACACATTGAACATTAGATCGAAACCCCACAAGGATATTTACGTATATGCACGGAAAGGAATTCACAGAAGCAAGCGAACAAGATAATGCCTTCACACGGTGCGATGTCGAGTTAGATTAGAAGCACAACAACGGATTTGTTCGCTCTACAATAAAAATCTAATTTGCTTTGTTTGAAGAAAATTTAAACGATGAGTAAGAGTTATCGATAGCACAATTCCATTCAAGCAGTAAAGAAATGAAATGAAATTTTTTTTCGCACTGAAGCGTGCAGTTGTTGTCGATTGATTGTTTTCAAGTACATACTAATACGAATTAACTATATTTAGAAACAAATTTAAGGAAAGGTTATTAAATTAAAAAAAAAAATAATAAAAAATATATGTAATCGAATCAATAACAAGTAAATGGTTGAAAGATATTTGATTGAAAACAATAGTATATATTGAAAAAATATAAGCAATTAAAAGACTATATGCGAGTACAACAAAGGGATGATTAGGAATATATATACAACAAATTGAAGTTATGAATAATCTGAATAGTTATATTTTCATAAAAACTCAATAATATAAAAAAAATACGAGCAAAGAATTGAACATGATAATGAATAAATACAAGTTATTTTGTCAAAATAAGATATTTATTAATAAAAATTTTTTTTAACATTTAAGATTAAAAATAGATGACTACAATAGCGTACTTCGAAGTACTCGAAAGGTGTGATGCATTTGTTAAAATGTACCTGACGTCGGTTATATACAGTTTTACACTATTTGGAAATTACAAATTATTATTTACTATCACAGTGAGCTTGAACATATCGGGATGGGATGTTCGACAAGATGACTATTATTATTCCGATAGACCATTTAAGCTGAACACCAGTAATCCACAATAGTTACCTATAAAGAAACATAAAATAATATAATTAACATATATCTTTAACGTTATTCACAATGAAATTGGAATTAAAAATTATCTGAATAGTGATATTTTTATAAAAACATATATATAAAATGTAAAATATTATCAAATTTCTAGCACATCGAAAATTATGACAGGTAGAATATATCGTTTGCGTTTCTCGAGTGTAATCAATGTATTTACCTGTACATATACACGTCCAATACGATAATGCGAAGCGCAATGTATATTGTTATCCCAAACGTGGCCTGAACTGATGATAGATAGCGTCGCATTCCGTCAAAGATCGATTGATTAATGGATTGGACATGTTTCATTCGGACTTTCCATCTTCGTGCCGATAATGTTTGCTTGACTTATTGAGCTTTGAATTTGAGTATTAGCGTTACGATTATAATACAGAAACAATCGGTTATTCTTGTACTGGAATTTTTACGTCGTAAAATTGCTGCCATGTTATCACCTGTAATGAGAATATCACGATTATCATTAATTATTTGTATTTGGTATATAAAATCTCTTTAGAACTTCTTATCTAAACACTGTTTTTATTATATTGTAGAGTTTTCGATCTCCATCTTCCGACAATTCATTGAAGCCAATTCCAAATTGTCCCTTCTCTCTCTCTCTCTCTCTCTCTCTCTCTCTCTCTCTCTCTCCACACACACGTACACTTTAAAAATAAAAAACAAAATAAAAATAAAACGGAACTTACCCTCAGTAACAAAAACGAAGATAGAAGCTGGTTTAGTGTTGGACGCGCTACAGGTATAATTGCCTGTGTCCGATTCGAGCGCGTGGTGTATGGTCAGTCGACTCTGCGTTGGTCCTGGTTCCGTTTGCACAGTGACGCTGCCACGCGTTGTATCGTAATTTATCATGCGGTTATTGTGATACCAGAAAACATACTGGGGTGGCGTTGGGCTCTGCAAAACAAAGAGACACTTGAATTTATGGTAATGCTAGCTTGTTTCGCACACAAAAGAACAAGAAAGTTCGCTCGCAGGAAAAAGCTATTTTTATTTCAACCAAACATCTTCATTTTTACTCTTAAATTTTTTTCTAAGGTTCATGATTATTTTGGAAGATAGCATGGAATTTTTATTCTGATAAGTTTTATTTGTACGATGATTGTCATGGTTACTATGAATAATGGATATAAATGTAAATGATCTATAAGGTAATCAGTATTATGAACGGCACTCCTGTATTATATATCCATTAGCAGAGCAAGTTTGTTACTTTATTTTGATATTGATCTTAATTGAAGTATACTCTTACTACGCCAGAGTCTATAGAATAGTAGGTACTTACAGACTACAGCCGCAGAAGTTATAGACTACATGTACGGGGTGCAATAAGAAGTACACACGTAGAAAGTAGCGATTAAGTTAGTAATTGCTGGTAATATCACGTTCTGAGAAAATAAGTACTAACGCGTATACTGTATTAAAGTGATGAGAAAGAATTTTACGCCATGTAGGTTAATACTCTTCATGACGTATCTATTTATTTTATTAAAATTTGAAAATATTAGACCTTTTGATATCCCTAGAAATATAATACTGATAAATATCTTCTTAGACATGTAATGTTAAGTTTTCTTTGGTTCTAATATTTCAATCACTTATTTTGTTTAAGGGAACTAGTCGGTGGTTAATAGTAAAAATCGAACGTATTCTTTATTAGCGTATAAAAATCGTCTTAATAACAATATTGTCATGAAATTCAATATCTCTTGAAAAACTCAGTATGGGCTTTTATTCTCTCGCTTGTGAATCCCAAAATCTTATTTACCGGCCCTTGAAAGTTCCTTCGATTGTAAAATCGTATTTTTTTAAAAATTGACTTCTCCACGCGTTTCTGATCGTTAGAATGAAGAGAAATCATTTTGGAAGGACTCGTATTTTGTAGGACCCGTAGGGAATAAGTGGAGCTAATTTTCAAAAAAATTATTTTCATGTTTTTCAGCTGATTTTTCGGATTTTATCAAAAAAGAACCCAAGAAAAAACAATTCATAATTTTAGGAAAAATGGGTGACAAGCATAAAAAAATAATTTTTTTGAAAACACAGATCTACTAAATAAGGGGTCATTTTCGGAGTAATTCTTTGCGCATAATTTGAATCCGAAGTCAGAATTTATCCATGACGTCAGGATTTTTGAATATCTTATCCTAAAGAGACGGAAAAGACCGTTTTTTGCCATATTTGATGTCACGTAACATCGCGAAAGAATTACTTTTTCAAAAACGAGAAAAATTTTTTGAAAGATCTATTTTTACTCTTCAAAATCCATATTTAAGATTAGAAATATCGTTTTCTTTCATTGGTATATCGTTGATTAAAATCAAGTATATTAGAAGTCTCAAAACAGCTAAGTTTCCGGATACATAGATATTAGCATATGTATGCGAAAATACGTGAGGTAATCAACAATATCTCGATGAAAAAAAATCTCAAACTAAAAAAATGGATTTTGAACAATAAAAATAGACCTTTCTTTCCATTTTCAGACAAAATTTTTTTCGCGATGTTACAGGACCTCAAATATAACAAAAAATGGGCTTTTTCACCTCTTTAGGTTAGGATATCTAAAAATCTTGACGTGATGATCAAATTGTGATTTTAGATTAGAATTTTACGCAAAAAATTACTTCGAAAGTGACTCTCAATTGGCCAAGAATAAAAGACCTGTGAAAATTGCTCCTTTCATTCCATAGTACAGATCCTAACGAAGATAACGAGGCTTTCTCAAATAATTTCTGTTGATACTAATGTTAAGACAGGGATAGTAAAGTTAATTTTTTCAACAAATAATATGTTACAATTAAGGAAACTTTCTAGGGTCTCTTAATGAGATTGTGGTACTCGTGATCATGAAAAGGAAAGCTCTTATTAAGCCCTTCAATATGAAAAAGTTTTCGTGACAATACCTTTAATAGGATGATTTTAATATGCCAAAAAAAAACTTTTAATATTCACTATTTGATACCGGCTAGTTCTCTTAACCAAAAAGTATTTTGACTCCATTAGCACAATTTTATTTTCATTTGTGAACATGTAACTTCAATTAATTTTTTTATGGTAGCTGTTCCATATATATATGTAATTGCCGAAATATTTTTCCCGTGGCTGATTTTCATGAAGCAGATAATATTATCAAATTATGAAAATTAAAGCTTTTTACTAATACATATCTCCAATTGAAATCAACCTTACAATATACGCAAATCAGTTCAATGTACCTACAAAATAAATTTAAAAAACTGGATAAAATCCAGCAAACGCTTCAAATGTTTATGAAGTTACAAAGAATACATGTGTAAAATTTCACAGTTCTAGTCAAACAAAGAAAAATAAAAATCACCTTGGATATTATTCTTAACTATCAGACAAAACATTTATCATTTTAAAAAAGCAAGAAGGAATTGTAAGGTGTGCGCGTCTCTCAAATTGCCGTAATTAGGTGGGGTTTTTTGAAAATCGAATGATCACACTCCGGAGCATCGCGATTGCGTTAATTTATAACGAGGAAGCAAGAAAAATGAGCTGACTTTTCGCCGGCTACGGATCACCCTTCTGCGTCTAGCACGTTCAAAGGGCAAAAAAGCTCACGACATAAAAACAGTAAAGTAATTAAAGTGAATATAAGCTTATGATAAATTTAAATTAGTTGTCAAGCAGTTGTCTAATTTCAGTAATCTAAAATACTTAACATTTCCATCATTTTCAATTAATTTTCATTGATCTTTGCCAAAATACTAATATTTACGATTTCCCGAATTCATTTGTTTATTTATCAAATTTTATGAAATAATTTATAAAAAAGTACTAAGTATCATTAATTCATTTTTGATATATTTACTTTTTCGTTCGCTTAATTTTTACTTCGAAATTAGGCTTTTCGGAAAAGATATCTGTATGCTAATATTATTTACGATTAATGTTGCAAATGAACTGCTAATATTGATGGCATTCAGAGATATAATATTATCTCGTGACATGGGATGCCATTCAAATATACGTTAATTCTGCTATATGTTTACTCACGTGTGCAGTACTCGTATTTGTATTCATGAGTGTACTTTATTATTTTAGGATGGATCATCAATATTAACACGGTATATTCGAAATTTCGGTATATAGCATGTGATAATTTATAGATCTTTACAAGAAATTTCTGTGATTTCTTATTATATATACAAATGTTGGCAATATATATTAACCTTCTCTATAATACAGACGAGCTTGATGATGGAGCCTACATCAACATGATGCTCCTCGCTTCCGAGTATGAAAGCTTCTGGTATGACGACATTTAAATTGACGAAATGCGATAAAATTCCTGTACTTCTGGAAACCTGCAACATAATATAATCGCAATTATAAATTTCGCTGAGAACATTACAACTCACAGATTTGACTACATTGTCAATAATTATATTTCAGTACTATTGTGGAATTTTAAGTTCATTCATTTAAAGTATAAAGAGTCGATTGTAACTAAAAGTCATGTTTTCCGAAAATATGCTTTAAAACGTTAACAACACCATTATAACAAGTGCAAACTAAATGTCACAAATAATCATTTGTTCCATTAAAAATCATCTTTTATACCACTAAAAAAAACTCGAATACACGTTTTAGCTCTACACTTTTCTTTAATAATATTACGACCCAAACGCTTATACTTCTGTAAGGCGGGACGAAAGTGTCGGTGATTCGTGTCAGTAGATTATGTCAACGTTTGGTCAGATATATCTATTTTTGAGGAAGGTATAAAAACGAGGTTGAGTGCCATTTTTCTCAAGGTGCATGTATTTTAATGAGCAGCTTCACTTTCTTTCTACCGCGCGCGAAACTATAAAAAATAAAGCGAATCGTGTACAGGGTGTTAATGAGTGGTAAATACGCACATTTAACACGACAAACGAAAGTGGATTTTTTCGCTTGTTGAGAGTTGCACCTGCAATGACAACCACTCCTTGTATACGTCAAAACTAATCCTTTTTTTTAATTGCTGTCGTATTTTTTAAACTATATTCAAGGTTGTTTTGTTTTTATTTCACTTCTATCTTTGATGCATTATGTGAGTATATTTAAAGCCGCAATATCGATATAGTAATGTCAATTAATAATTAATTATTAATTAATTAATTAATAATAATAATTATTAATAATAATTAATATTGATGATTAATATGTCAATTATTTGAATATATAAGCATGAACAGCTCATTCCGTTTAGTATATGAAATGCAGTTGAAGGTTTTCTCATCAATATTTCAAATAATTTAAATTAATTTCTCAATCGTAAATTTTTCTAGCGTACCACGTACCTTTTTAAGTACTGAATCGTAAATATAGTTTTAAAAATCGTATATAACTATATATTCATTAAGCACGAAAGAAGGAATCTCATGTTACCTGACATTCATAGGTCCCGTTATCTCGTTCCTGTACATATTTTATTTGCAAAGTCCAGTCTTCCGAACCCTCAGGGTGCAATACCTGGAAGCGCTCGTCGTTCGTGTACGTAAATGTTGAGCTCGTCAATACGTGCCAATCACGTCGCCTTATCCACGACACCTGCAAAGAATTAAATCGAAAATAATGTTAAATACTCACATCACTGAATGTGTTGATTAGATATTTATTAAATAAAAAAAACTTTATTAAAAAGATGAATAGATACTGATATATTTAGTAAAGTATATTTATAAGAATGGCGATTTATATAAAACAAGAAAATTTTAATTTCACTTTCAGGATATTTTCGCATTATCCCAATTTATCCTTATTTTACAAAAGTAAATTATAGTATATCCGTAGTTATTTTGCATCGTTGAAGGGATTGCGTCACTTAATTGACAGATAATCATAATAATCCATTATAAATTAATCAGCTTAAATATTTAATGCATCGCGTTGAAAATAAAACCTCACTTTTTTTGTAAATAATAAAAATAATAAGATAATATCGTCAGTTAGTAAAGGGTTGATTATCTTTCTCCATTAACACACTAGTATGAAAAATCGATAACGTCCTGCGTGACTGTATGGATAAAGAAAGCACGAACTGATCAAGAGCAAAAAATTTATTACGGGGTGATTCTATCTCTTCCAAGAGACGTGTAGGAGAGTACGAAATGATGAAAAACAGCTTTCAGGTTGATTATACAAATTTTCTCTGTTTTACAAGGGAAAAGTTTAGGATCGTATGGTGCAGTATATAACGTTTCGATTGCCGCTCAAAGGGCAATCGAACTTTGGTGTTTGGCGGCATGCCAATGTCGAGTGCACTTCCACGTATTCAAAGACGATCTGCCTACATAGTTTCAAACAAAATCACGAATTTTCTTGTATTTGGTTAGCCATAGGTGCGTACACCATTGATCTTTGATGTAAATTAACGAACAGAAAAAAGGCCCAAACGTTATGTCTTGTCCAATAATAATCTTATTATTCTTATCGTAATCATAATATAGTCAGATTTTTTAAACAGTAATGGTATAGTGCATCACTAAAAGAATTTTTTTACATTCAAGATAAAATAAAAGTTCATACAAAACAAATTGTTCCTACATAACATTTGGTTTCATTTTAAATATTAAAAACAAATGGATTTTTAATGATTAAAGAAAGCTTTATTACGGATATCGACATTATTTACTATTTATTCCATTAGTCAAATGAACAAACTTGTCATTGAAATACAAACATATTGAATAAACCCAGTATGACAAGAATGACAGAACACACAGCTAATTAGGAAGCCCAGCAGCGTGCCAAATTATTCAACACACGTGATTAGCAAGCAGGAGCCTGTTTGAATTGCTTTGATAACGTTCCTTTGAATGAATAGAATGTCTTCTAGTGAGGAATATCAATCTTACTCGCGTGAACATTGATTACACGCGTATTTGGAGCAAAACTGTCTATGGCCACGAGATAACGCGCGACAATTTTCGTTTGATGAAATAATAAAGCCGCAGGCTTATATGTACCACTGCTCTTTCGCTTCAGTCACACTCTCTTCCCACTGTATGGATTTTCTAATTTATGTTTCCTGGTACTTCACTCGAAATTATCTCGAAAGTGATTTCGCAAAGTTTTGTTATGGATTATCAAGAGGGCTCGGAGAAAAAAACAATCATTGGTTGATCTATTGTGTTTCTCGGGAACGGCTCTTCTTTCAACAGTAATCCTCACAAAAACACGACGTGTTCAACCAGTTTCGACAAAATTGAATTGCACAAGATGGGTAACGTGAAATTCACAGTTGCAAAACATATATATACCTCAACATCGGCAACAGTTCTCTCAACAGGATTGCGGAGCTTGCAGTAGAGGAAGGCGGTACTGCCCAACTGCACCGTCACGTTCGATATGGTGTTGTTCTCGTTGGCCTCGTTCGCGCGCTGTAGATCCTCGAGGTTGCTGTAATACAACGCCTTCCATTCCGAGGGTGGACTGAACTGCACTTGACGCTCTAGAATCACAATGAAGAAAACCGTTCTTTACTACATTTATCCTTGTCTTAATCCTTTGTTCTTTTCTCATTTTGATTAAAGGACGCGATCAAGCTTATACAACAAACACAGTTATATTGCAATCAGACTATTGCTTTTCCTCTTCTGGAAATTCTCATCTTATCATCTTACAACTGAACTTACTCATCGCAAAAGAAAACACCAATTTCGCTTATCACGTATAATTTTCAACTTGCAATATTCATTGCTTTACATCCATTACTCTTAATGCTGCAAGTTGAAAATTGTTCGAGTACGATTGGGTTTCAATATATGTTGGACGTAAATAAGTCAAATAAAGTAGTGCGACCAGTAAGATTATCTAAACATTTATTGACGTATTCAGACAACTGAAATTAGTCGCTATGTAGGTCATCGGGATTGCATTCGCAAACATTTGAGAGAGAGGGGGAGGGAGATGCGCAATCAATTAAAGCTCGAGATGCGTTCGAATTTCGACGTTGACTCAAGTGCAACTAGAGAGGGACAGAAACTGAGATCTAACGCAGGCAGTCTAATACCGACTATCGCCAATTGCATTTACATGTCGATGACATTCATCTCGTAAACCATTCATTTAGCGAAAGACTTCATGACAAACAGTTACAACTTTCGCACGAAAGGATGTATTTTTTCATTCATCATTCCTTTCGCGTAGGAAAAATTAAAAATCGGTAATACTGTACTGAAAAGAAGAAAAAAAGAAGGACAGTGAATTTCTAATAAGCTTACTATGCTGTGCAGGCGAAAAAAAGAAGAAGAAAATACGTGCAGGGAAAGAGTAGCGAAGAGTACAGAGTACAAGAAGACTCTTGAGACAGAGCTTTGAGCTTTCGGGCGAGCGCCTTTTGTCTTGCTAGAAGAATAAGCCCAAGTCTCCTTTGGATTATTAAACGACCAACTGCGTCTCTGCTCTCTTGTTTTCTTCCCAATAGCTACTTCAACTCTTTCCATGGATTTTTGTGAAATCCACTTATCTCTTCTCGCCTGACGGTCCAGCTCGCTGAATATTATCCTCCTGAAGATATCGTTGCAATTCTAAGGTTGCTCCTTTTACTTGTCTTTATAATTTTATTTTGGAACGCCTTACTGCTTTTCACATCCCAAATAGTGATAAGAAGTATTTACCGATGGCAGACAACGATTTGTTTTACTACTTTTCGGTACTTAATGAATTTACGAGGGTAACTACAACTTTTACGACCCTCTAACTCGACTTAAGATAAGGACTATTTTCATCGAAAATACAGCCATCAAGATACAACGGCGTGGCAAAAACCAATAGATAATAAATTGTAGTTAAGTTTTATGCAGACACTTAGTGCATTCGGTAAATTATGTACTACTCAAGCTTTCGAAAAATAGCTCTTTGTGTAATTCTTGGTTATAGTTTAATTGCAGCTCACTCAACTCTCTCTCTCTCTCTCTCTCTCTCTCTCTCTCTCTCTCTCTCTCTCTCTCTCTCTCTCTCTCTCTCTCTCTCTCTCTCTCTCTCTCTCTCTCTCTCTCTCTCTCTCTCTAAGAAAAAAACATCAAGGATGGTCAATGCTTCATATAATGACAACAAGTGCATTGTTGTTAAGTCTTGCTAGTAGAGTGCTGAGTAAACAAAGTGAAAGGTAAGCTTCTACTTTTTCATTCAGACAATCAATAACACAAGAATTCAAGAATATGTTTATATATGCTTCATCAAAACTTTGTCACTGTAAGTTAGCATTGCTAAAGTAAAGTAAATATTTCGGAAGAAATGGAAGATAAAAAAAGTAAGTAGCGTGAAAGCAACAGACGGAAATAAAAAGAAGCATTTTAATTCGTTAGAAGTACTGTGCACTCTATACTGCGCACATTCTTTAAATTTGGATGTTCATTGAAATTGCTAAAGCATTACGAAAGTGTACTTAATGCTTGAATTATAAATGATAGATTTCAGCAGTTATGCTGCTTATGATTAAGGAATAACGTAAAACATTATACTTTTGAAATATTTCGTTAAGCTATTGCGAAGTTATAATGTACACTATTGTTCTATTTATTGACCTTGTATTACTATAAATATTGTAAGTAACATAACCACAGCATAAATCACGAGCTTCTCCAAATATCCAGCGCTTATGAATCACAAAGTAATTTTTCGGAACCATAGAAACACCAATCAGATTTTTTTGTGGAGAACTGTCCTAATAAATCACATAGACGTGTGTATATGTGTAGACCAAAGAGAACGAGTAAAAACATTACATCGTCAAAGGGCGTATATTGTTTCGCCTCGTGAGCCCGAATTGCGTGTGGTTGATCGTCGTTGTCGATACGCTACAGAGAGTAGCAGTAGCAAGCAGTCCAGAGCAGGTCACGCGTGTATACGCCAGACTGCACGCGAGATACGTCGCTGGCTAAATAATCCGCGCGTATATTGAGGACGCCAACTAACTCGTCAGTTTTCAAACCTCCCCCCTCGACCTTTCCTGACTGCTATCCTGTCAAACGTCAGGCTCATCGTGTTAAACTTGCTTGGGTTGACCTCGCGGATGAGACAAAAAATAATTGCGTCATTGGATGTCAATTTTACATTCAATACAATTGCGAAACAGAAGCTCATTGACTGCTTTTTGTTTGCTTTGTTGAGATCTTGTTATTTTTCAAATACAATTTTCATACGGTTATTAAGCAAGAAAATTCTCTAAAGCAATAAAAATACAATCTCCTATTTCTTCTCTTCTTCTCTTATCTTAAAAAGGAGAACTGTCGCAGATATCCAACGATGTGATTGGTTGATGCGAAAAAAGACCGCAAAATTTTGATTTTCCGTACAATTTGAAATAGTTGCATTACAAATCTAAAAGTATGAAATTTATATTAGAGCAGTAAATTTAATTTAGGAATAACCAAAATGGACAATAATCTGCAAACAGGAAATATACCGTTAATAAATCGTTTTAAAAAAATAAGAGGTTATGTTTTGAAATTCTTAATATAAATCAATAATTTTATGACCATCTGTGATATTAAAATTAATAATGTCTTAAAGTTTGATTGAAAGAAAGAAAAAATTAATAGAACAAAATGAAAAAATTAGTAACAAAACTTGTAGCGACTACCACTTGTTTTTTATTATGAGCACATAAAAAAATGAAGATATTTCTTTAAGAACATTGTAAATACAACAACTCTTGAAAGTTTCATAAAAATTCAAGCAATGCTCTACATTTTACAGCAATTCAAAATTTTTCTTTTTGCAAAGTAACAAGCAAAGTAACATGCAAAATTCATCAATATTCTAACTTTTTACCTTTTTGACCTTCAGAATCGCATACAAAGAATAATATTGAACTGATAATAATTGTTTTCCTGATATATAAACGTTACAGACCTTTAAATTTAAGCCATTACAACTTGACCAAACTCATGTCTATACAGCTGTAGAAGCGAGTAACACAAAAATCAAAAGTTTCTGTGATTTGCCCATATATCTCGAAATGAGTTAAAATTGATCAGTTTTTATGAAATAATCGGTGCAAGTTCTATTTTTATTTATCAATGAATACCGATGTACGTAGTGAATTTCAAACAGCATGATTTGTCTATGCTTATATATTATTGGAATCTCAAAATTGTCTTGTAAAATGTTCACATAATGTAACAAATGACAAGAAAAATATAACACAAAAAGCCAACTAAGCGTGTATAATAATACTAGTTAACATGTTTACAGCAGATTTAAAAAAAATTATAACGTGAGTATTTTACATTTTCTGAGCATGTAAATTTTAAATTTAAATGACTAACTTTTAGAATAAATGTTTAAATTGCATGACTGTGAAACATGATTTTGATTTAATTATTTTTACTTTGTAACTTGTCAGGTTTATTTTAGATAATATTGTAGAAAGTTGAAGATATTCTTCTAGATTAAGCGAATATGGAATAAAAGATATATAAGCCAATTTTATACAAGAGAAACATTATAATTTTTGAATAAAGCACTTCAAATTGTTGTATTTAATTAAAGTCGTGAGAAATTCATTACTAAATGATTTTGTGATACTGTTTTCTATTAGATATTAATTATCTGTAGATATAAAAGCAATATAAGTAATATACCAAAGAATAGGATTTGCATTTTTATTTATATATAAATATACATTTAAATGTATCTTAATAACTAAATCTTTATTTTGAGGTTGAGTAACAAAGCCTACTAAGTCTATAAGAAAGTAAGAACAATATCTCGAAAATGATGTTGAGAGTAGTTTAAAAATACTAATTTCTTCGTCCTAAATAACTCTTTCTTCGTTTCAAGATTCGGTAAGCATTATATTCAAGACAATTGTTTGAAAAAAAAAACTGTTTGTTAGACAGATGAATTTGTCGTTTTTTTTTGATTACTTTAAGAATTAATGTCTCATCACTATGGATATACAATATAGCGATTTAGATGATCAAAAAAATAAATCACTACACCGAGTCCAATTAAAAAGTCGATTTTTCTCACGTTAGTCACATATACGTCTGAAGAACAGTACCAAATACCTGGTGTGCAACAAAGGCTAACAAATAAAATTGGTGCATGTGCTATCAGCAATCTCGAGGTGCGAGCGGCAGAGAGACGTGTGACGGTGAAGAGAAAAAAGTGCTAGAGATCGGGGATAAAGAGGAAAAAATCAAAGAGCGAGCCGACCAATGCGCTACTCTCTCTCTCTCTCTCTCTTTCCCTCTTGATATGACGGCGATTATAGCAATCATCGGTCGTATATGCGTATGAATGTATGCGATAGATCGGATTTGCTCGGCGCACGTATACAAGCGAAATGTGCGCGCTGTTGGCATGTGTACTTTGCGCATATATAGTCGCTTGACCCTTAAGCAATGCTCACATGGCGTGTAACTGTATTACAGATATCTATACTTCAATATCAAAGGGCACCTTTGATGCATGCTATATGGGCATTAGCCGTGCGAATACAATCTTGACGATCAAAAGGAGATTTTCAAGTATTCTTCATTTGTACGCAAAATTTGTTTGTCGAATATCAGACTTGTCCAGCGGTGCAACAATTGTCAACGATACTATCATTGGAAGTGATACGTCGCGCGAAGACGATATTTCAAAACGAACGCTTGTCTCAACAAGCATAATTAAGCGAGTGAAAGGCGGCGAAATTCGCATAATTCATAGGTACAGAATGATTTATACATTTGCCCGGTGTCACATAAATCTGGAAAACACAGCTTGAATAATATAACACGACCATCGTGGGAGCGCGCACATCGCACAGCGAGACCCGTGTGTGTGCGACGCTGAGAAGTCAGCAGCGTTTCACTGTCGCAAAAATGCTCAGCTTGCGAACGCATCCCTACCCTATTCATACTCGCACTGGGCGCCACGGCAAAAGGAAAAGAAAGGACGCAGGGCGGGCGGATTTTCACAAGGACTGACAGTTCTTGAATACACGTGCATTCAGAAAATACATGTGGGTCGTGGGTATTATCTGGCTATGCGCTTTACAGTGTTCCAACTGTTATTGGAATTTTTTCCCCCTTTCCGTCCATATTTTGTTGTGAAATTCCGTTGGATTAAGTTTGAGCGTTGCGAGAGTGTGAAATTTAAGCTTATACTGAAAGCTTTGAATTGTACGCATATGCCGCGTATTTAGTTTCTGAGGGCAAAAAGTTTTGTCGAAAAAATGTCAAACGTGTATTACGTGTGGAAATAAAAGTGTATGTGTGATACGTATTGAGAGCTTTTATCCGATTGGAACATGTGTCTCTGCGGATATAATGCTTTATTTCACTGTAAACTTATATTTGAGCGATCGTTCGAATAAAACGATTGAATGTTGACCAAAAAGAAATGTTCAGCACGATCAAAAATTGAAACGTATTCGTCGTAAAGTGCATTATGCATTTATGCGTTCTCTCGTAAACTGGAGTTTCATCGATCTCTTTTTTCCTAAAAATATCACTTGCAAACAAAGCGTTTCACTTCAGCAAGTGCTTTCACATGCTAGACGCATCAGAATTTGCATAGGTGTAAGAGTATCGATCGCGGGCATTCAGATTCAACCTTACCCAGTAAAAATTACGCGAACGCTTATGGAACGAGTGAAGGTTAAAACGAGCTCCCAACAAGATTAAAAATTTGCTTCTTGGTATTAATGTCGACAAATGCATCAATTAAGTAATCAACGAATGATTATTGGCACGAATGATATTTTTGTAAGTTAAACAGTTTTTCGAATTTTAATCGAGGTACTGAAAGCAATGCTTAGCTCAAAAAGAGAAACCAGCCATCTAAAGCTCTTAAAGAGACGCACGAGATTCAGGCATTAGGATTAAGGGGTTCCTCCCCACTCTTAAAAAAAAGGCAATTGGATACGACGTAAATTGAAAGCGTGGAAGGTGAAATTGACTTACCTTTGTCGAGAGATCTGGCAAGTAAAATTGTTGGCAAAATGAGAAACAGCGTGCACCATGAGAGTCGGTCGTGCATCTTTTATCGAAATTCTAATGTCCACCTGTAATGATTAATAAAATACTTTTCATTTAAGTATTCAATATGAATATAAACTTTTGTCATAGTGTTAGACAGTTTTCTAAATAAGAGATTAAATTTTTCACGTAGTCATAACATCATTGACGACGTTAATGTGAATTTTCTACGTAACATAATTATAAAAATCAATATACGTGTAGGATGCAAAAAGTAAGAATCAAGATCTAACTTTAGATGAAAATTAAGGGACCGCGTGAACGCCGCCTTGTACACGAAACGTAATTACAAGATACGCAGCTGAATTACGTTAACGAGCAATGGAATACTTCAAAGCGACAACTCCTTCACGCAGAGAAATCAAATATAACGCAACGTAGTACCTTATTTACACCTATTTCTTTCGTAAAAGAAAATATAAAAACAAATAGACATTGATATGCATTACTACAACAATTAGAAATACAAAAAAATATTTTCCTCAAACAGTATTCAGTTACATTTAGTATTTCTTTATTTTTAACGACAGTCAAAAGAATTTCTTTCTACTACGCAGTTCTAATTTTGAATAGAATTCTCATCATCTCTCATTTATTTTCAGATAAAAGTCACGCAAACATTATTCCGATGCAGCGTAATCTTGATATAGCAGGGATATAATCCACTATAATTTGTGTATTAAGCTTCACTGAATAAACTGAACCGAAGTGTTCGTTAGAGTTTGTCATAGCTATGAATTTAATATGATTCTTGAGTTTGGAGTTGAGAAACAAGAAAATACAATTACTCATTAAGGTCATATACTGTGGTAATGCTTACTTCAAGCCTGCTCGATAACACTAAAGCTCCTTTATTTCGATAAGCCCCTTGTAAGAAGAGATCATTTCTTTGATCTCGAATAATCGGACTTGGCGTAATAATTTTTTAGAGTTATCTATAGCTGTATCTATAGTTATAGATATAGTTTCCTATTATTCCGAAATATACAGATACTTAATCATAAATACGCAGATACTTTACTTGTACTTCCTTATTTCAAGCTCAAATATGAAATAGTTCCACACGATAAAATTTGAAATAATTAAAAACATAAAATAAAAACTTATTTTAAATAGTGCTTCCGTCATTGTAGAATGTCATATAAAGTATGATGTTTCGTGCTCAATGTGAGTCTTATATTATGCGTGTAAAATTTTATTGCGCAGGGGACAAGGACGAACATATCTGCAGGCACGTATATATAGTCTGTGCGATCATTAGCAAACGTCTGCTGCGTTAACGAAGTCTCTGTACGCGTCGCTTGATATTATTGATTTCTGTCAATAACACGTGGCATTCCTCGCTCGTCCCCTCCCTCTCTCTTTGGTGAGCGTTATCGAAATCCCTTAGTTCGCCCCTGTGGATGTGTATGCTACATATATGACCGATAGACATCCTAGCTTGGGAGCTGCGGGGCATAACTGCGTTAGTTGTGAAACCGATGTGTTTGCATGATTATTTTCCCAGAAATGTTATCGTATTGAACAAATAACACGCAGAGAGAAGTTCCGATAAATTTTCTATTACCAGTTATAAAACTCAATTCTATCGCGAATGGTAGAAAACAGTCTTTAATAAAAACATTGTATTTGAAAGTTAACTAATGGAATTTAATTGAAGAATTTTGTTCTTAAAAATATATATTTAATATTAGGTTAATTAGATAGTATGAAAGATACTCCGAAGGATTAGTTGAACATATCTAGGATACGTACCTGCATATAAGCTTTACTCAGTTACATTACACAGTTCCATAGCGTTCGCGAATTGAATTTCAGTGGTATAATCTTACATAAGAGCATCTTACGCATCGCTTATGAAAGTCATGTCAGTAGACACTGCAGTTTCACTAATGGTCTAGAGTGCTTTGGTATGCTGAGAAAAAAAGACTTCCTTCGCTAAGAAAATAGCCGTTTGAAACCAATTCTCTTGCATAAAAAAACTGTCACAAGCCATTTCGAATCTTGTTGTAAGGAAAGGAATTTTTTCAAAGTGTTTTTATGAGCTATTTTATTGAAGATGGAAGACAAAAAGACCGTTACAATTTTCACAGCGTGTGATTTCAATTTTCAAAGCAATTCTCACTTATGACAAACAATAAATGTGTCTATGCAACTATGCAAACAAGTCAGCATCAATTATTATAAATGCTACCTCGTATTTTTTTTTTGATCGAAAAAGTAATGAGTTTGAGTATTTCTGCTTTTTTAGTATATAAAAAGGAGCTATATTTTTGATGACCTCGCAAAATATATCTACCCTTGAAAATCAATCTCCATTATACGGTGACAGGTTGCTTATAGAAAGAAAACCCGTGAATTTTTCACTTTATAATTTAAAGTTCATAAGAGTAAAAATGCACATTCGAAGAAAATGAGGCTAATACTCCAGCCAAAACAAGCGATGATGCATGTTGGTACTAAACTTTTATGCGTATAATTCATTCGAGGTAATACCTGTCTATGTGCACACACCTGACGGATGGTTCCCGAAAGTTACGTTCATGCTACTTTTTGCAGCAGACTCCTTTTTCATGCTACATTTTCTTTTTTTTTTTTTTGTAAGTTACAGCTCGTAAAAAATCGTGATATATAGGACGTGGACATGCGTTTCATTAAACGGCAAAAATCACAAAGTTCTTTGTAAAAAGCAGTCTTGCAGGATTAAATCAATTTTTACGACACGTAACTCAGCGATTATAAAAGTTGAAAAAGTTTAAACGTACGCGCGCTCAACACGTTAAATGATTCTTCTTAAATGGTCCAACTTCCGACGTGTACTGCTAGTGAATGGTGATTCGTTATGGTCTTGATTTTTTTCTTCGCGCTCTTGAAAAGAACTTGGAAAATTATGTGACTTCAAGAGAACTTAAATTGCTTTAGAATTTATTTGAAGTAAAGCGCAGAGAACTGTCTTGTAACCTAATCTTTTTAAATGACAACCGAAATATCACGTGAATTATAAATAAAAATGTAAAAAATGAAATTCGTTTTTTCTGAATAGTACCACAATACACTCGTCATTTATAAAGAAAGTCAAACTTTATTATCGGCTCACACGTATACGAGTACGAGTATATTGCATCACATTGTCGTGTATGCCCGTGAAAATTATGAGCCCATAAAAATTTGTGCAGGGAGCGATAATTTCATTTCTAGTAAACATTTGCTAGCTTCTATCACGGCTGTTCTTGTAAATTGCCGTGAAACTAGGATTCGTTATCGTTGCGGTGCCATTGCTTAACCGCGTGATTTAACGGCCCTCGTAATCGATGTCTCATTAGGTATGAACCGCAAACTGAATTTCATATTCCACATATGCATTGTACAATCAGTTATATTTCAAATGTTAACTATAAAATTATGAATATTTAATAAATGAATACATTATTTTCATTATTAACTATATATTAATCAAGAATTGAAACATTTTTTTCTTGAATATTTAGCACATTGAATATGAGTTGGTTAGTAATCTTGTACATTTAATGAAAATAAATACTTTTAAATAAAATTTGTTTATATTAACAGAAGAGTGGGTTATTTGATTGATTGATGAGTCGTTCATTGACGACAGAGATAAGTCATTTAAAGTTTTTTAAAATAATTGGAATAAAAAAAAAACTAATAAAGTATAGTCTTAGTAATTCAGTAGAATTTTAGATAATCATAGTTCGAGATTTTATTTATACTTCATATCATAATCGTGTAAGATTAAAGGGAATCCTCAATACAGGCACCGAGTAAATAAACAAAACAGAAATGTACTGAACGTAGTTTATCATATCCTCTGGAAATACTTATCGGACCCTTGTTCCTGTAATGCGCACCTTATAAAGCAGTTTACACGCGAATTTCGCTTCAAGGCGTGATCGATAAATCCCTCACGCAATGCCTTTCCCCGGAATTTCCGCCCCCCTCCCACCGTCTTGGTTACGTCGCTGAATTAATTCCAGGCGCGCCCAAGTGAGACGTACGATGTCTAATGACCTCCGGCCAGTCCTCTCGTAACCAACGACTGAATAAAATATCAGCTTGTTAATAGTTATCCTTGCTTTGTCGCTCTTTTCTAGAACATACATAAGATACTCTACAATATTTCAGTCGTCCTCGAATCGTTCAGTGGCGTTGATTTGTGAAATACTGTGTCTCGAAAACAATTCCAGTGCTGTTGTTTGTTTTATTGGATAGTAATGAAAATTTAAAGCGTCTTTGATCATACGGAAGACTTTATTATAGGGATCAAAGAAAACAGTTAGTTTGTTTTCGTAATTTATTAAATATTTCGAACTTTCTTAAATATTTATTTTTTAAACTGTTTAGGCGGAATGAACGACTTTTTTTAAAACAAATATATTCTTTTGTGGATTCCATTAATTTTATGTGCAAATACACAGAGATTCCATGACAAAATTCAAGAACGACAGAAAGTATAATACGAAATTTTTTCATTAAATTATAAAAAAATGTCTTTCAGTGAAATTAATTTTTCTAAAAAATATTTTAGGGATTACTAATGTTACCGTCTAATCACTGTTTTTAAATCTATTTCATAAATTCTCGTGACCATCAAAACCGCATTCGAATAAAGGAAATTAAATTAATCTTAGAAAAAATATGCATAGAAATATTTCAGCGCTGTGTATTTTGGTTCTTCTAACTGACTTTATTTATTTTGCGTGATAAATATTTATTCGAATGCTGTTGCCGTTCTAGTCGTTGTAACTTTTGACTTAACCTTAATTACAATTTTTTTGGTGCACAATTTTTCAATGTCATTCTTTTTCTATCTGCATTGGTTATATCCCAAAAATATATCTCAAAAAGTCGATTTCATTTTAATCTAATCGAATTGCGGCACCGCTACACGTTTTTATGATTGGAAAACATTCACATAATCAATACTTATATTTGTATTTATGTAAAGAAATCTTATATTAATGAAATATTTATTTTTACTATTAAATAAAACGGTCTAGAATAAAAT